GCCAGATGTTACCAAAACAAAACCGAGAGGAGGAAAATGCAGATTCTTCAGAAAGACAGCCAAGAAAGTTTAAATAACCTGGAACAGATTTTATTTCGCACCCTACCCAATTAGTTAAAGCCTTCGAGGTACCAAAAAATGACCACGATAAGGAAGTATGGGCAGGCAGGCTAATAAACATTTGAGGGATAAATTCATGAAGCATTAATAATAATGTATTTATGCTGTGCTTCAATCTTAAGCCACAAGACTTACTGTTTTGATTTTTTCCTTGAGTTCTGAGCTGACTGTTCCTCCAGGTCCTCTCTGGGCAAGTACCGTTTTCATCTGTTTCTGCAGCTTGAGGAGCAAAACTGAACTTAAATTTTATTATTTTTGTATTTTTATCAGTTTTGTTTCGTCAGCCATTTTCAGGGCATCATGTCAAAAGGCCAGATAGAAATTCTTTACATACACAGCAAAGATTAACAAGATCTCACTGACAGAGAACTCTAAAATCCATTAATTCTGCATTCATTTTGCAAAATTATACATCTCAATTATGCTGTGAAACTGTTTGTGCAATATTTATATTGGAAGCTTCAGAGCACAGTCAAACCGGTTTGTAATGAAAGCATTTTGTATACATCAAATGCACAGTATAAGCACTAATATCTGAGACCAAAGTGCCTATCCAGATGCTTCCAGAAGCTTAAAGGCAAGGCATTACTGTAACAACCTTCCCCCTTCTGTCCCTGGCATTACTATTCAAAAATGCAATGCCCCTGTACATGGAGGTTCCATTTTAGTGGCACAGCTAATCATTATTGATAAGACTTACACTCCATGAATGCATCCAATCACTTGGCCAACACATCTTATGTCAGTGAATCCTGTAACTATTATAAAAGTACTTGGTTGTAGGGGTAATGATGCCGATTTACAACAGATTCCAACATCTTCTACGGCAAAAAAAAAAAAGACGACAGTCTTGAAGGGTGGATACCCTGTAATGTGCACCATACACAACTGCAGATTTTCCCATTATTACCCTGTGATACATTCAACACAGTCCAACCTCTCAGCTGGTCTTCAGCTATCTCCACAGCCAAACCAGCATAAACAAAGTCAAGACTCTATTATCACAATTGCTCCTCCGTGGACTCCTCTCACAGTTCTGTATTTGGCCCACCCGTAGCACTAACAGAAGGGGGTAGGAGCAGAAACAGTCCCTTGCTTCGCAAAGGATCACAACAAAAGGTGATAGCTTCCTCTGGGAAAACTTCCATGTAAGTCACACAGTGGGAGGTGGACTTGAGAAGATGCATCAGATGGGCTGCCCAAGGGCAATTCCAGAAGGGCAGTCACATTAGCTTACCACAGCAAAATAAAGCAGAAGTCCAGTGTCACTGTAAGACTAATATTTATTGCGGGATGAGCTTTCGTGAGTCACAGCTCACTTCTTCAGATGTTCAAGGTCACACAAGCTGTTTAGACACTTCCCTACTGGCCTAGACTGGTCAAAAGTCTAGAATTCAGCTCAGCAACAATTCACCGGTCCACTATCTCTTCATTCAAGCCCCTACCTCCCCCTAGTATCTGATATTTGAAATGTAACACCGGCCTACCGTGCAGAACTGTTGTCACCAAGACTGAAATACGAAAACATTTTATATTAAGAGAAAGCACTATAGAAAAAATTCAGAGATGTAGCAGTGGGTCATCTACCCATTAATTCAATACAGAAAGCTATTTGCTCCTGTATAAATTAGGCAGGCTTTTGAAGACCAATTCAGCAATACTCCGATTTCCACAAAAATTTTGCTTACCTTCTGGTAGACTTTGGAAGTACAGGAGGTAAAATAACCCAGCACAATTTAGCATAACTCCTGAAATCCTTTGTGTTGCGATCTGGCTCACTACACTACTAGTGTGAAATTGCTCCAGGAAACCAGACGACAATTCCAATGGAGGAAAACACAAATCCAATGGAGGAAAACACAAATCCCACTGACCATTGGCTCTTCGGCCTTCCCACAGAGGATTCACGAAGATCCGCTTCCCCTCATCTTAGATTATACCTTCAAAACATCAGGAAGAATCAAGTACCAGTTGAACTGGTTCAGAGAGGAGACTACACTGTCAAAGTAGCCAAGCTATTTGCCATTCTCTAATCTCTTGTCTTAGCTTAAGGATGGAAAGTTCCATCAAGTCCCACCTGACTTAGGGGGACCCCAGAGGATTTTCATGGCAAGAGATGTTCAGAGGTAGTTTGCCATTGCATCATCATTGAAGACCAATTCAGCAATACTCCGATTTCCACAAAAATTTTGCTTACCTTCTGGTAGACTTTGGAAGTACAGGAGGTAAAATAACCCAGCACAATTTAGCATAACTCCTGAAATCCTTTGTGTTGCGATCTGGCTCACTACACTACTAGTGTGAAATTGCTCCAGGAAACCAGACGACAATTCCAATGGAGAAAAACACAAATCCCACTGACCATTGGCTCTTCGACCTTCCCACAGAGGATTCACGAAGATCCGCTTCCCCTCGTCTTAGCTTATACCTTCAAAGCATCAGGAAGAATCAAGTACCAGTTGAACTGGTTCAGCGAGGAGACTACACTGTCAAAGTGGCCAAGCTATTTGCCATTCTCTAATCTCTCGTCTTAGCTTAGGGATGGAAAGTTCCATCAAGTCCCAACTGACTTAGGGGGACCCCAGAGGGTTTTCATGGCAAGAGACGTTCAGAGGTAGTTTGCCATTGCATCATCATGACTGTGGACCTCCTTGGTGGTCTCCCATCCAAGTAGTTGCCAGGGCCAACGCTACTTAGCTTCTGAGATCTGATAAGATCGGGCTTGCTAAATTGGGCTAGCCAGGTAATTTTTCTCCCTTTTAAATCTCTTTTTACGGACGGCGCTATCTCTGATCTGGATAGCTCAGGCTAGCCAGATCTTGTCAGATCTCAGAAGCTAAACAGGGTTGGCCCTGGCTAGCATTCGGATGGGAGACCTCCAAGGAATACTGGGGTCCTGATGTGGAGGCAGGCAATGGCCAACCACCTCTGAACATCTCTTGCTCTGAAAACCCCAGTGGTTTGCCGTAAGTCAGCTGTGATTGGATGACACTGTCTGCCACCATAAAAGGAGCATTTAGTAAGACAACCAATGCAAAAAGGAGCGCCTCTAATCATTCCCACAGTTAACTCTCTAAATAAGGCTCCGGCACTTTAGCCACTTTTGGAACACAAGACTTCAGCTACTTACCTGCTTCATCTTATCGCACTTCACCACTGGGGTTTCCTCTGGTTTCGACTGCACTACTGAAGTATTAGATTGCTGGCTTGGAGTCTGGTTTTGGTTCTGTGTAGGAAGGCTGGGTGCTGGAGAACATGTATCCACTGTAGGAGCTGACCTAACCAGTGGCAGGGTAGGCTGGCTGGGTGCCCGAGAATGTCTATCCACCGTAGGAGCTGACCCAATAGGTGGCAGGGTCTGCTTCACATTGTTAGGTTGAATCACCACTTTGACTTAAACACGTAGAAAGAAAAGGATTTCAGTCACACCACAGCACCATTTCCTATTTTCCCTAGAAAAACAATGTCGAAGTGCTTGCACACATTTCTAAGTGCACCCCTCCCCAAGCAGAAGCTGCCTGTCAATCTAAACATTTATTGATTCTTTGATCAGCTATGAAACTGGGGCTAAATTACCAGTACTGAACGTTCCAATTAAATTGTGCCCAGAGGGGAATCAGCCGACTGTTACCTTCCATGGTCCACTGAAGGGACCACCCGCTCCTGTATCAAACTGCCTGATCAGGGTCATCTACAGAGGTCCTGCTTCAAATGCTTTCACTGTAGGGAATGCATAACCATGAAAGGCAGGGCCTCCCCTTATGGTGGCACTTTGGTTTCAGAACTCCCCTCCTTTTTTGTTAAGTGTGTAGAATTTGCCTGGCCACTCCTTATCGATTTGAATTGCTATGTTCTTAAGATTTTCAGATGCTGTGGTTTTAACATTTAGACTGATGCAGTCATATCGTCTGTTACTTTACCATTTGGGCTTGCTACTGGTACTTTCTGCTTAGTATCGCTATTCTTCTATACTACTTGCAGCCATTATTTTAGGTCTTCATTTTATTTTATTGCAGCCATTATTTTAGACAGATTGTTTATATTTTCACACAGGTAATTAACCAATATGGTTTTATACTATTTAGGCAAATTACCTCAGGGAACTCTCCACTGGAAATAATTTAAACAAGCAGTACTTTTACTTTAATGATACTGCTCTTACAGCCAATTCGGCTCTGAACAGTGCCACATTAAGACTAAAAAAAAAAGAAAGGAGGACATTTGATTTAATACATGTGTCCATATAATATAAAAATTTAATGATTTTTAATATTTATCAATGGAGAAAAGAACTTGGCAACTGCCAATGTAATATTAAAACCCACCCCTGCTAAAAGAAACCTCAAACCTCAAATTATCCAGCTCACACCTAGAGTCCTGGATATAAAAGTCGAGTAAACAGTGTTGGAGGGTGTCTATTTGGCCAGAACTGCATCGGCACAGTTGCTCAGAGTAAGGCACCTTATTTAACCATCCCAATAGCTCCCCTGATGGAATAGCATTCAATCTAGCCAGCATAAATCATCGTCTGTAGTGTGGAACTGTCAGGAAATCAAAACAGGCTGGAAGAGATTGTGGTAACGTTAAACCTAAACATAAAGGTGGTACTTATCATGGTACTTCCAGTATCCAGTTTTTCCAGACAGCAAAAGACTGAAGAGAGAGTTATACAAGCAGCAGTCCAACTCATCGTGATAAGGAAAAAGTTAACAAAAGTGATATTCACTTTCTTTAAACTCCACCTCTGTCACGCTTTTGCCTGGCAACAGAGACCATCTGGCTGATTCTGCATCGGCTTTTCCTTCCATTGTTTTACGAAACCCACCTTGGAACAGAAATTCCCCTCTGCACTTCATGCTGGTTCCACTTCCTTTGATTATTTTTTATTGTTTTATTGTTACTCCCACACCCCATGCCACTTTTGAGTTCTTTGATCGTTGGATTTTATTGTACTGTCTGCATAGATTTATTTTCCCATTCTGTATCTAGCATTTGCTCCATTGTCTTACCAAACCCACACTGGAACAGAAAAAGATGCGGCTCAAAACCACATTCAAATACTACAGGCCAACGCTGTACTGACTGCAGAGTCACCCCTGAACGGCCATAAAATGGCCATAAATCTATGCAGACAGTACCATAAAATTGAGAAGATCAAAGGAAGTGAAACTGACATGCAGTGTGGAGGGTACGATAAAATACAAGGATCAAAGAAAGTGAAAGTGGCATGCAATGCAGAGGGGGATTTTGTGGGTTTGGTTAAATAGTGGAGCAAATGCTAGATGCAGAATCACCCTCTACCCAGGGCTATTTTGGGGCAGGAACGCACAGGAATGGAGTTCCGGCTGGCTTCAGAGTTGGCCACGCCCACTACAGCCAAAACCTCTGCGTGCGTGGCTACAGAGGGAAGGCCTGGAGAGCGACCACCACCCCCGGCGACTCCGAGTCAGGTGGGCCAGGAGAGCCCTGGAAGGATTGGGGAGGCATTTAAAGGGCTGGCTTGCCCGAGCTCCCCACAGCCACAGGGTGCCCGGGCAAGCCAAAGGGAAGGTATGGGGTGTGGCCTAATTCCTGCTGAGCTTTTTCTACCAAAAAAGCCCTGCCTGCACCCATTGCCCTAACAACAGGAACTGAACAGCTCCCTTCTCCAACTGTAAGCCTCTGGAAGGCAGAAGTATTTCCAGTTCTGGGCCCCTAGGATACAGCAGGTATTTTCTATAATATTCTCGCATTGCTCCTGCTCCTCCTTTCTGTGTGGTCTTCTGAAGACCACTACACAATTGCCATTCACCTTCAACAGTGGCAGACCATTCCCTGCACTTGCGACATTCTTGCATTTCCACACACACACACACACACACCCTGGGGATCCGGACCCACCGTTTGAAAATCTCGGGGTTAAGCTTTTAATTAAGAGCAACGACAACAAACATCTGAGGCCAAATGTTCTATTGGGTGGGCAAAGTGGGTGAAGCCAATTAGGTGCCATCTGAACCATTTCTCCCCCAAGCTGAACCTAAGCAAATGTGTCTTACACTGAGGCAGCTTTTCCGGTTCTTTCTTAAGCGAGGGGCTCTTTTTTAGGGTCAACAAGGAACCTGCTCTCGTCTGCGTGACTGTGATAATATCAGAGGCCACGTTTAGCACCTCAGAAAAAGAGAAGAATCCGTAATGCAGAAATTCAAAGTTCCGCCCAAAGTGATGAGCAAAGGCTTTGTTAAAATCGGACAGCAGGACTGGGGAAGACCTCAAAAGTTCCTTCAGTTGACTCTTTACTACAGCTGGTAGGGTTGGGGGGACACGGCCACGCCGAGGTAAGTGTTGAGGCATCTGGGTCTGCCGAGGCCAGTCAGGGCGAGATGCATATCCGAGAGAGATTTTTTGCCTCAGTCTGGGAAGGTGTGATTTAGCTTTGACCTTCTGTCTGGCAACCAAGCTTGCAATCCCCACAGTGGACTCATCTGCAATAGCTGAAAGCAGGGGGGAAAGGTTAAAGGTGCATGTTAGTACACTATTAGGAGACCACTTTGCAGACTTTCAACCACCTCTTTCCTTCTGCCACTCTCTTACAATAGAATAGTGCTGCACAAGTATAAATGAAATAAAATAAATAAATAAATAAATAAAAATAATAATAAAAAACCCAGCTTGCATTCTAAAAGCACAATATTTTCCCAGGGCCCAGATCATAAGGTCTTCCCTTCTCTTACGCCAGAATTATTAAAGTTTATAAAGGGGAGCTCCCACACTTCTGATGCTGCTCCTGCTTTCATACCAGCTGTTCTGGTCAGTCCTTCCCACCCCCTCACAACTGACAGTTGGTTGCTATGCATGAAAGGAAACACTCAGACCGATTCTGCAAAAGCAGTTGTTCCGCCCTCGGTCTCCCATTTCCCCCAGTTGTACTACTCAATTTCACACTATTTGCTGCGCGGCCGCATTTTGACCCGCATCTCCCCCCCCATTTCCCCTTATTTTTTAGGATCAAGAAGACATAGGGGAAATCAAGGGGAGATGCGGGTCAAAATGTGGCCATGCAGCAAATAGTGTGAAATTGAGCAGTGCAACTGGGGAAAACGGCAGACCGAGGGCGGAACAACTGCTTTTGCGGAATCGGTCTCAAATTTCCATCCCATTTCACATGTAGGAGCACTGCAGGAGCACTGGTGGCTCTCAGGTAGCTGTCATGCCCCAAGTTTCAAATAAAGCACATATAAAATTCTATTATCAGGGTGTGCACAGGGTGCCCCAACTTCTGCAAAGGAAATATGTTAATTCTGATACTCTGTAAGGTGAGAACAAAGCCCATCATAGCCACCGAAAATTACATTAAAATATCCTCTTTGCCGCAGTTTTTATCTTCGCAATTCTAAAAAATAGTTTACATGAAAACACTGTGTTTAGTGAAATTATAGTTAAGTTCCAGTTGAGGGAATGTCCGAAGTTGACCATTGTGACAGAGGTAACATTCTAAATTTACCTATACCTTGGTTCCAATCTCAGGAACTCTCACATATGATCGCTAGCAAACTTCTTGCTTTCCAGACAGACCTCTTTCTAATTTGAACTATTACTAAAAAAAGATGCACAAGGAAGCAAAGGCATAATTTCAATATTGTATAAAACACTTTGTCAAGACCTTTGGACTAAATCTACATCACGACAACTAGCATGGCAAAAAGACTGAAATTACTTTGTCAGACGATCAATGGTCTAAAATTTGGTCATCCAGCCTATATACAACTAAATCACTAAATATTAGACTCCAAAACTACAAATTGTTTTTACGGTGGTATATGACACCTCTAAAACTATTTCATTCTAAGACCTTGAAAGTTCCAAAATGCTGGCAAGGGTGCGGCTAGACGGGAACTTTTTCCCATTGTTGGTGGTCGTGCCTGAAGATGAAATATTTTTCGGATTTAGTAAAACCAATAATGGAAAATATCACTAGACTGTCAATTCCAAATGTTCCAGAATCTATTCTGCTCAACCATTGGAACATTTTATTTAGAAGAAGAGGAGGATATTGGATTTATACCCCTCCCTTCACTACCCAAAGGTGTCTTAGAGCAGCTTACAAACTCCTTTGTCTTCCCCTCCCCACAACAGACACCCTGTGAGGTAGGTGGGGCTGAGAGAGCTCTCTCAAGGACTGTCCTTGAGAGGAGGAGGAGGAGGAGGAGGAGGAGATTGGATTTATACCCCGCCCTTCACTACCCAAAGGTGTCTCCGAGCGGCTTACAAACTCCTTTACCTTCCCCTCCCCACAACATATACACTGTGAGGTAGGTGAGGCTGAGAGAGCTCTGACAGAAACTGCTCTTTTTCAAGAACAGCTCTTATCAGAACTATGGCTTGCCCAAGGCCATCCAGCCAGGTGCAAGTGTAGTGGGGAATCAAACCCGATTTCCCCAGATCAGAGTCCGCGCACTTAACCACTACACCAAACTGGCTCCTAATAAAGCTCTAACAAAGCTGAACTTGCCTCTTTAATATTAACTGCAGCAAAAACATTAATTGCAAAACTATGGAAAACTGAAAGGACCCCAATCCTCAAACAATGGTTTTCAGAACTATGGGACATCATAGTAATGGACAAGTTAGCTTCTCAGCTGTTAAATGCAGAAAACCCTTCAAAAATCCTGCTTTGTGGAAAAATGGTTTCCATTTTTTACTTAGGTTGCAACGTTTGAAAATTATGTCAATGCCTTACCTACTAGGTATACCTACTAGGTATTTTATTAATCTGTTTAAGAACAGTTATAATTCTATTTTTTGTTATATACATTGTTGTATTCTGGCTGAAACCTGTTAATGTTCTTCACACTTTGCTTGTTTTCTTATTTTGTTATATGTGTTTGTTCTAATTTTGTAAGTTTAAAATAAACAATACAAAGTTTTTTAAAAAACCACTGTGTTGAGGGAGTGTGCCTGTGTGGAATGGTAGTACAGAAGAACTGCAGAAGCAGCAGCACAAGCAAACTCCTTGAGAGCTTTACAGTCAGGCAGACAAGTTTAGAGCAGTATTAACTGAAAACAAGAACAAACAAACCCCAAATCCAAAAAGGCACACACCTCTAACGTCTAAAGGAGAGCCCATTTTGGTGTAGAAGAAGAAGAGAAGAGATTGGATTTATACCCCGCCCTTCACTTCCCAAAGGAGTCTCAGAGTGGCTTACAAACTCCTTTCCCTTCCCCTCCCCACAACAGACACCCTGTGAGGTTAGGGTTGCCAACCTCCAGGTGGGGCCTGGGGATCTCCTGCTTTTACAACTGATCCCCAGCCGACAGAGATCAGCTCCCCTGGAGAAAATGGCTGCTTTGAAGGGTGGACTCTCTGGCGTTGTACCTTGCTGAGGCCCCTCCCCTCCCCAAACCCCGCCCTCTCCTGGCTCCACCCCCAAAGTCTCCAGGTATTTCCCAACCCAGACCTGGCAACCTTATGTGAGGTGGGTGGGGCTGAGATAGCTCTGACAGAAACGGTTCTGTTTCAAGAACAGCTCTTATCAGAACTATGCCTTGCCCAAGGTCATCCAGCAGGTGCAAGTGGAGGAGTGGGGAATCAAAGCCGGTTCTCTCAGATTAGAGTCCGCGCACTTAACCACTACACCAAACTGTAGTGGTTAAGAGAGGTGGACTCCAATCTGGAGAACCAGGTTTGATTCCCGACTACTCCGTATAAAGCCTGCTGGGTGACTTTGGGTCAGAAACAGTTCTCTCAAGAGCAGTGCTTGAAGAGCTCTCTCAGCCCCACCTACCTCACAGGATGTCTGTTGTGGGGAGGGGAAGGGAAGGAGACTGTAAGCCACCCTGAGACTCCAAGTGAAGGGTATAAATCGAACTTTTCTTCTTCTTCTTCTTCTTCTTGTGTCAACCCATGGGCCATAATTATAACTGTACCTATACTCAGTTCTATGTACCAGCTTGTAACTTAAATCCTCCCTGTGCATCTGTCAAATATCAGCTTGGAATTTATGGACAGTCCCAAGCCAGTCCTCTCACTGTTGACTGACTAGTATTGAACCCACCTTTGAGGACAACACTGCCATCTCTTCCACGGCACAGTTTAACAACATCAGGCATGTCCATCACCAGTTCCATGGTAGATTGGTAACCCAGTGCACGAAATGGAAGTTGTTCGCCTATCATCGACCTGTATTCTTTCTCTAACTCGCCAGGGGTGAGGCCGCCTTTGGCTGCTATCAGCAATGACCTCACTTCTTTCTTCAGCAAGCTCAACAAGCGCTCTTGATCCGACATGTTTACACTAAGAGAGAAAAACAAAAAAAGACGTACTGGTTTTTGGTGGAAATATGATCTACCATAACCCAAGAAGAATGCTATCTCAAGACAGACAAGGGTGGACACAGTACTGAAACTGAAGTGGGAAGTGTACCATTTGCACCATAAAGTGATCAAACACTTTGCGTAACAGGCCCCTGTGAAGGAACATGGGCGTGAAGTTGCAGGGGGAAAGACTACCCTAAAGCAAGTGGTACTTTCCACCCCAAGCAGCTAGGATCTGGGTGGAGCGAATACACCCAAGCAGAGGATTTTCATGAATCCAAAGTGAATCACCCTCAGTGCCCCATCACCTAATCAGGAAGGCCCCTGCACCTCTATTGTGCTGTGCTGAGCTGACATAGGTAATATCTATTTTTGCAAACCACTTTGAGGGCCATTTTCTATACAAAAGAGGGCACATTCAAACTCAAAAAATAGAAAACCCAACAATTTCAACAGAAAAAGGTGACCCTGTGTAGGAACCAATGGAATGCCTACATGAAAACTACCCTGTGCAATGAAACAATAATTGTTTGGCTTTCACTACATTTGTTCCAGCACTTTCAACAGGGAGGCAGCTTGTAAATCTTTTCACATAAATATAAGTGCTAAAGGTATATTCAACAGCTCACATGTATTTTAATGTTAATTCCTTCAAAGAATACCATACAATAGCTCATTTGTTATCACTGCCCCCTCTGAACAGCCCAGGGCAACTAAACCAGAATTTAGAAATCAGTTCAATTAAGATTGTCCCAGCCCACAATACAAACAGGTGCCCTGCAACAACAACATCATTTCCCCACTAAAAAAACCAAAAACCTTCTCCATCCATCAGTATCTATAGACTAGACCTCTAAGAGTGTAGTGGGTTAGAGTATTGAACTAGGATCTGGAAAACCCAGGTATGAATTCCGCTTCCGCCACAAAAACTCACTGGATGACCTTGGGCCAATCACTCTTTCAGCCTAATTTATTTCACAGGATTGCTGTTGTGAGAATAAAATGGAGAATTACATTGGATCAGGATGGGTACCTGTGTTAGTCTGTCTGCAGCAACAGAAAAGAGCAAGAGTCTTGTAGGAACTTAGACTACCAAAATTTGTAGCAGGGTAGGAGCCTTCAGGAGTTACTGCTTACTTCTCCAGTATATAAAGAAGTCAGCAGTGACCCACGAGAATTACGCTGTAAGGCAGTTTGGGCTCCCACTAAAGAAAAAGCAGGGAATAAACAAAAAAGGGTGCTCAGGTGAGAGAATGCTGTTTGATATAAAGAAAGAGCATTTCATACGTGGGGTTCTCCCTCTCCTCGTTTTACCCTCACAACCAATGCCCCCTCTAAGCTGTGGAGTCTTGTGAGCAAAATTTTACTTTGTGAGCAACTGGCATTAAAGTTGTGAGCGAGCGATTTGGCGGCTGCATAAATTACTTTGCTCTGGAGCCCTCCTTCCTGAGCTAGGACAAAAATGTGTGAACCGGAAGCTAAAAAACTGTGAGCTAGCTCACACTAACTCAGCCTAGAAGGAACATTGCTCACAACCAATGTTCCCTCTAAGCTGTGGGCTCTTGTGAACAAAAATTCTACTTTGTGAGCTCCTGGCATTAAAGTTGTGAGCGAGCAATTTTGGCTACTGCATAAATTAGTCTGCTCCGGAGCCCTCCTTCCTGAGCTGAGACAAAAACGTGTGAGCCGGAGGTTAAAAAACTGTGAGCTAGCTCACACTAACTCAGTCTAGAGGGAACACTGCTCACAACCCCCCTGTCTAATCCAAGGTCACTCTGTAAACTTCATGGCTAAATGGGGATTTGAACTCAAGATCTTTCAGAAAGATCCACACAGATCTCTAGGGCAGGCTCAAACAGAGATCTATATCCAGCTTCTTCCACACGACCACCACATCTAACACAAGGTATGTGTAAAGCAAAATAGAGGTGCAAATTGTGAGTCACCTGAAGCTGGACTGAAGATATGGGTGACAGGCAGGGACCCAGCCTGCCAGGCAAAACCACAGCTTTAACTCCTGACACACAAACTATTTAGGCGACCCCCGCATACAACCTGAAATGGTTCACCCCAGACACAACTTGGGCCCCCTCAAAGAGGAACTGAACCAATCGATGAATAGAATTAACTGACCCCCTCCAGTCCTCTCTCTGCTCCCGCTATACTTTTAAAGCTAATTTATCGTTTCGTGTCCTCCAAACACTTATCGTAGTCTCAACCTCCCCCCTCCCAACTACCTCCTTTTGGGCCAACCCATTCCACTCGCCCCCGCCCCCAATTTTGAAACCCCAAACGGCCAACGTCGCAAACCTCTCAAAGGACCTCTTTAATCCGCACCCACCCTTCCCGCTCGGACTTCACAGACCCGCAGCCCGCAAAGCAAACGCTGAGCAGGGCGCACGCGCCGAGCCCGAAAGAGCCCACCCAGCCGCACGTGCTGTTTTCTCGCAGCCGTCGGTGAAGAGACGGCGAGCTGCTTCCGCCCTCGCTTGCCCCCCCCCCCCCCCCGCGAGAAGTAAGATCCGCAAACGTTTAGGTGTCTTCTCTCTCTCTCTTTTTTTGCCCAACAAAGGCCTGAGGCAAATCCCTTATTTCCAGAAATCTTGTGGTTCCTTGAAGGTTTAATCCAGCCGCTGTGGTTCTTAAAAAGTAGTTTCCAAGCAAATTAGCTTTATGTTGCGATTAAAACCTAGTTCGTAAGCCTCGAGGCTCTTGTTTATTTTAATGGCAACAGATTAAAAGGGCAGTAAAGCCTCTTTCCTGGGGATCATGAGAAATGTAGCTGCAAGCAGCAGGATTCTTTGGCTGAGGAGCGAATGCTCAGCACTTCACCAAGTTACAATTCCCAGCATTCTTTAGGGGAAGCAATGCTTTATTTAAAGATATTTAAATCAGCAGTTGTTGATGATCTGTAAAGGAGTGTGTGTGTGTGTGTATATATATATATAGAGAGAGAGAGACAGACAGAGAGAGAGAGACAGACAGAGAGAGAGCGCGCGCTAGCTATAGATAGATATATATAGCTATAGATAGAGAGATAGAGAGAGTATAGCTATAGATAGATAGATAGATAGATAGTCTCTGACAGGGCTCTTTTTGTAGCAGGAACCCTTTGCATATTAGGCGACACACCCCTAATGTAGCCAATCCTCCAAGATCTTACAGAGCTCTTCTTACAAGGGGCTACTGTAAGCTCTTGGGGGATTAACTACATTAGGGGTGTGTCGCCTAATATGCAGAGGAGTTCCTGCTACAAAAAGAGTCCATATAATACACACACACACACACACACATATATATATATACACACACACACACCATAAATGGATGCAGGTCTTTCAGATTTGACATTTCTCCCTTCCAAAGCTGTTTTAAGATTTTAAATTTGTGCAGTGGGTCAGACCAGACTTAAATGGGAATGGTTGAGAAGCTGCCAGACCCTTATAGCCATGCTAGGGAGCAAGACTGGAAGGGCATCCATTTTTCACTGTGTTCATCATCTGTATTTTATTGCAAAATGAGCAAAGGGAAGGGGGGGGGAGCTTGGAGTCTCACATGCAGGAGAATAAGGGGGTAAAATGGTCTGCACCGCTTCAGACTGAACTCAACACAAATATGAAATTAGCTAAATGAGGGGAAATGATCTATCCGCTTTCTGCTTGCTGTGCTGTTTTGTTTTTTCTATTTTATTGCAAAATGAGCAAAGGGAAGGGGGGGGGAGCTTGGAGTCTCACATGCAGGAGAATAAGGGGGTAAAATGGTCTGCACCGCTTCAGACTGAACTCAACGCAAATATGAAATTAGCTAAATGGGGGGAAATGATCCATCCGCTCTCTGCTTGCTGTGCTGTTTTGTTTTTTGTTTTTTTTATTTTGTGGAAGTTTTTAACAACAGAGGAGCATTCCAAAAAGCTGTCTAATTCTGAAGCTGCTCGCCCCCTATTTAGGTTTGTGGTTTAGTTCCAGATCAGTCAAAACTGTAGGTCCTAAAGACAGCTTCCAAGCAAATATGAAGTATGCAATACGATTAGGGTTACCAACCTGGAATTACAACTGATCTCCAGACTACAGAAATCAGTGTCCCTCCAGCAAATCGCCTCAGAGGGCGGACCATAGAGTCTAGGAGAAATTGATGTCTCTCCCCAGGCACTGTCCCCAAATCTCCAGGAATTTCCCAACCCAGAATTGGCATCCTTAAATACCATTTATGTACAATCTGCTGTTAAGTCGCTCGCTTAACAAAGTAGTCGGAGAGTGATTCAGCAAAGATTCAGCTTTATTCCACAACTCGAACACAACTCCAACACGGATCAACATCTGATAGCCAGAACAGCCTTTACATTGCAGCTGTCCTGCTTTTAAACATTCCCGGCTAATGTAGCCACACCCTCTGTACAAATACCAACCAATAAGGTTGTTCACATATGGACCAATCACGGATGTTCCCGCTCAGAGAGCTTGCTTGAAAGTGATTGGTTAGGTGCTTCCTGGGCTAGTAACACAATTGGATGGATTTGGATCCTAGCCCAGGACGAAGCTTTACATTACACTTCAGTTAACTAAATATGCATCTGATCATTTTATATGATCCTTGTATAGCTTATTTTAGGTATAGTTTGTTGTAGTGTTTCGTAGTGTTTGTAGTCAGAAAACAATAAAAATATTTTTAAAATATTAAAATAGCACTGTTAGAGTAAAAAAGAAAAATCAACTAACATCAATATCAAAAAAATACAGCAACTTACACAGAAGCATAAGTGACAGCAGAGACAAGAATCAAATACTAGGGATGAAGCAGTGAAGAAAAAGCCTCCAGGTAAACTAAGCAGAAGAATTAACAATCCAGAACACCTGGGCAAAACAGAAGAATCTTCACCCGGTGCCAAAACTGCAGCAAATCTGGCACAAAACAGAGTTATAAGGAGGGCTTTTCATACATGAAGTGCCACAACAGAAAAGCCCCTGTCCTTAGTGATGCTTGGGGCTGCCAACTTTGGGCTGGGAAATTCCTACAGATTTGGGGGTGGAGCCTATGGAGGGAAGGGTTTAGGGAGGGGACATAGCTCAGCTGGCTATAATGCTGTAAAGTCCACCCTCCAAAGCAGCCATTTTCTACAGTGGAACTGATCTCTGTAGTCTGGAGATCAGTGGTAAAAGCAGGAGTTCTCCAGGCTCCGGGAGATCCATTGTAATTCCAGAAGGTTGGCAGTCCTAACTGACAGTCCGTTCCAAAGGTGGCAACTGAAAGAGCAGGGTCTCTGGGGATCATATCTGTCAGGAAGCTCAAAATGTTGAGAATGCATGCGGAAGAAAGATAAAGGTGCCCTGGTCCCACCTTGGAAGGAAGCCTAGAAGGAATTGAACATTTTCATATCTCAGTTCCCTGCCAGCCTTTCCTAAACCGTCCCATTTTTACTTGCTAGTCCCCTAAAGAAGACAAGGTGATTAATCAAGGTCTCCTTTCTTTTTTTAAAGCCGCTTACGCAAAGGACTTTAAAAAGCTAGCTGACAAATGCTTACGACAGCCAAACTGGCAAAGATTTCTAATTACACAGGAATCCAAGAAGAAAAACAGAAGTTCTGTCACACCTCCCTAAGTCCTCTCATTTTTCACTCTCACCCACCAGCCTTTATGAAGGAGTGCAGCTAACTCCACACTAATTAGAAGGCGCCTCAGTCCCACATATAGACATCTTGTCTCATGGGAAAAATAACTGGGACATCACATGCAAAAGTCAGGGCTGGCTCCAGGTGTTGGGGAGCCCTGGGTAGAGAGCAGGGGAGACATATGGTCAGTGGCAGTAGGCCCTGCCAGAGGCCCTGAATCTCAGCACCTGTTCTGCTACCAGCTCTGTTCTGATGCCAGCTCTGGCGAAAGCGCATGGATTTGTACTGCGGAATTGAACCAGCATTTCTCCAAAACTTTGGGACGTTATACAAAGCTCATCTCTGGAGCTTGGAGTGGTATAGCTGTAGTATTTCTCTTCTTTGGTATTAGTTCTGCAACCAGCTCATGTTGCTATGATAGGGCTGCCAAGCGGGGGCGGGGGGTGGGTAAACCCCCGCTTCAGAGGCCTGATTTCTGCCGCCGCGGAATCGGGCCCCAGGGGGAACTCCACCCCCCCAAGTGCAGCGTGGCTGCGTCACCAGAGGTGATGCAACCACGTCAATCACGTTGGGGGCGTGCCCCCGATCGTCGGAGGGAAAACTCTATGGTTTTCCCTCCGACGATCAGGGCCACACCTTCAACGAGATTGACGTTGCGCGTCAGTTCCGGTGATGTGCTGGCGGCGTGCGCACGCACATCGAGGAACGGCTCCTGGAGCCCGGCGAGGCTCCCCCGTTGGTAAGAAATTTAGACTTGGCAACCCTATGCTATGACAGGTTGCAGCACTACTCTAAATGTCTAGCAACCAATACTAGGAGCTCTGTGAAGTAGGAATGGATCTTGTTTTGCACAGAATTATATGTATTCAGTCTTGAATGTAGGATGTGTGAGTGTGTATATATCAACATATCTTCTTCTCAACGTGACCCCATCTGTGGATACTTAAATCCAAAGACTGGAGCCATGAACAGACAAGACAGATCTCCCTACAAACCTGTGAAGAGCCTTAGGTTTGCAGAAAAATCTGAAACCTCCCCAGGATAATAGAAGCAGCACACATACCTTTAAGAAATGAATACCTTCTGCTGTGGCAATTATGGAGGTTGCTAGGCAACCACAAAAGTATCACCAGCCTTTGAGCCTTGATTTCTGTCAGTAAAAGGCAGCAAAAAATTACCACCTCATGAAAGCCAGCGTTTCAACATGTTTCCCGTTTCAGACTAGGATCTAGGAGACCCAGGTTCAAATCCCCATTCTGCTGTGAAAGCTCACTGAGTGATCATGGGCCAGTCACACACTCCCAACCTAACCTACTTCACAGTGCTGTTGTGAGGATAAATTGGAAGACAGGGGGACAATGAAAGCTACTTTGAGTCCCCAAAGGGGAGAAATGTGGGGGTATAACTGAAGTAAATAAATAATAAATATAGCTAGGGGGCCAAGTTGAGATAGATTGGCTGGTGGGTGGGAAGGAGAGAAAGAAGCAAGGAAAGGTGAGATGATCCGAGGGCTGCCAAGAGGATATAGTATGAAGGAATACGGAGGAAAATGGGATGTTCCTTGTAGATCCCCTGTTTGTATATATTTAAAATGCACGTGCTGCCGAAGATGCTAAAACTAGAACTATGGAGATTATTATTGAAAGCAGCATTGTTTCCTCTCCTCGTCCTCTCTGCTGTGTAATATCTAGTAAGAAAATCCTGCAATATCACACTATTACAAGGTCTTCCACACAATTTCAGTGGCTGTCATTTGAATTTACTGATCATCATCATGGTGAGAAAGAGGAGAGGGAGGAAAGGCATGGATCTTTGACGTTTAACATTGCTGGAAGTGAAGACAAACATGGAAGGGGCTCATTTGTAAGCAGAAGCAATTCATTAAGAAGTCAGGTTTAAGACTATGAAAGATCTGACCACAGTACATTGGCTTTGAAACTGCTGCTGGGCTATTACTTTTGCCATCAACCACTAATATGACTACTCTCTGGAAATTTGTGGCTGATTGTACCATCTAGCAAATTCATCCACTGTGCATGAACCGGGATCCTCCTACAGGACAATGCCTTTTCTCTCCGTCCCTCCCTTTCAGACAGGATAAATTGGCTGACGGTACAACTTTCCAGGCAGAGGTGCCCTCTCAGCCGCCCTGTCCTCAGCACAGATCATCAAACAAGAATGGAAAAGACGTCTCGGAGCTCTTCTAAGGAGTCCAGCGGGAGAAGCAGAGGGAAGGCAGCTCCAGGCGTGAAGAAAGAGCGGGCAGAACATAACCGGAAAGCCAGCAAAGAGAGGCAGGAGACCGGCAAGAGGAAAAGGAAGAAGGAGACCAAAAGCAGCCTTGAGGCAGACAACCGAGTCCACACCTCCACAGTGGTGGATGTGGATGATGTGGTGTCCTTTGACGAAGAAATGGAGGTGATGGCCCTCCTTGAAAGTGAGAAACTGGAGGAAGGTAAGGGGATGCGTGGAGACAGGCAGCAGAAAAGTAGGTGGGCCGCTGGAGAGAGCATTGACTTGCCCAGAGAGCCCTTCTTTTGCCAGAGCCTGAACTTTTGCCCCACGGAGGCCCAGCTGCCACACTTTGGCTATCTCTCCAGTGACATTTAAAGACAATGCACGGCACGATGTCATTATGCATAAGTAAAAGGTAAAGGTTCCCTTGCTCGAAAGCCAGTCGAGTCCGACTCTAGGGTTGCTGCGCTCATCTCCGTTTCCAAGCCGAAGAGCCAGCGCTGTCCGAAGATGTTTCCGTGGTCATGTGGCCGGCATTACTAGACACCAAGGCGCACGGAACGCTGTTGTACACAGGTATGCATAAGTATCCCATCCCAATTGTGCAAGCGGACCAAGAATGGGGGGGAAACAGTGGAGCTCAGTGTCATAATATCAGGTGCCGTCTTTAACTAAAATAGCAGCCTGGTAGCCCAGCCTACCCCAATCGTATCGGAGCTCGGAAGCTAAGTAGGGCTGGCCGCAGTTAATACTTGGGCAGGAGACCACCAAGGAAGACCAGGATTGCTATGCAGAGACAGGCAATGGCCAACCACCTTTGCTCATCTCTTGCCTTGAAAACCCCGTGGTCCTGGGGTTGCCATGATTTAGTTATGACTTGACACAGCACACAATTGTTGTTTGTATCAGGAGGATGGGTGGGAGACAGATGTGTGGGTTGGCAGTGGCTGTAGTCCCACATCTCATTTATTTGGGCCTCAGTCATACCATTCTGGAGCTGCGGTGGCTCAAGTGGTTAAGACGCTGAACTGCAGGCTGTGGAAGGTCGGTAGTTCAGCAGTTCAAGACCCGAGTGTGCCGCATGATGGAGTGAGCTCCCGTCTCTAGTTCCAGCTCCTACCAACCTAACAGTTCGAAAGCAAGAAATTGCAAGTAGATAAATAGGTACCACTTCAGTGGGAAGGTAACAGCGTTCCGTGCTCCTTGGTGTTTAGTCATGCCGGCCACATAACCACGGAAACGTCTTCAGACAGCGCTGGCTCTTCGGCTTTGAAACGGAGATGAGCACCGCAACCCTAGAGTCGGACTCGACTGGCTTTTGAGCAAGGGAACCTTTACCTTTACATACCATTCTGCAGTCATGAAAAGGATTCCCACTGTAGTTTTGTTAGTGAACGTGCCCAATGGAAACGGGATCAAGATATTTACGGGGGGAGGGGGGGGATTAAACAGGCATCTTACAACAATTCTTTCAACAACTCTGCATCTACCATCAAAGCCAATTGTCCCTAAATGGTAGATAAATACCTTTCAGTGGAAGGGGTTAAAGACAGGATAGGAGGAAAATAATGATAAATGAAGGATTACCAGCCCCAATTGGCTCAGCAGTTCTATGATGATCATTATGTTTAGTAAAACGCCATCTGGAGAAAAAAATGTCTAATCGAAACAGCTTGGCAGGGGGCAGATGAATCACATCAAGTTAATACAAATTCCAGGCCTGCATCCACCTGAGTGAGCAGGTACAAAGCTGGCCACATTTCCAATTAATCCCAATTACATATATATTTATTTAGGCGTTTAGAAGTCTGCATGTATGCCGGCATATGGTGTCAGTTTTGTATATTCATCCAGCAGCCTGCATCTATGACTCCACAGCAATTTCAGAATTACACCTTTTGAAGGACTGGAATTGGAGTGCATCGCACACTGTTCTGTGCTTAGATTCATTTCACAGTAATTTCTGCTGCGTCAGACCAACACGGTTACCCACCTGGATCTACACTCATGTTAGCATTTATGGAACCAAAATTAAGCAGGAGAGTGGATCTTTAAAGCCTAACGTGATTTATTCCAGCATAAATTGTTATGAGTTGGAGCTCGCTTCATCAGATGCATGATTCGGTATACAGCTGAAGAAGCGACCTCCGACAGATTAAAGTCTTTGCTGGCATAAACTTTATTGGTCTTTAAGGCGCCCAGTGGCCTCCTGTTTAATCTTGTTGTAGCAGATTAACGTAGCTTCCCCTCTAGATTTCTGTTTGTGACTAGTTCACTTATATGTTATCTACATGCTATCATTACTCCTGTATCCCCCCCACACACCCAGTTTTGGTCTTTTGGAACCTCATGCCTGGGGTTGGGTTTTGTTCTCTTGTGAAATACAAGAGTGAATGGAGATGGTTGGATTGACACATTAGTTTTTGAGTGGTTAAGATGCTGAACTGCAGGCTGTGGAAGGTCAGTAGTCCAGCAGTTCGAGACCCGAGTGTGCCGCATGACGGAGTGACTAGTTCCAGCTCCTGCCAACCTAGCAGTTCGAAAGCAAGAAATTGCAAGTAGATAAATAGGGACCACTTTGGTGGGAAGGTAACAGCATTCCGTGCGCCTTGGTGTTTAGTCATGCCGGCCACATGACCACAGAAACGTCTTCGGACAGCGCTGGCTCTTCAGCTTTGAAATGGAGATGAGCACCGCAACCCTAGAGTCGGATTCGACTGGCTTTCGAGCAAGGGAACCTTTACCTTTTTACCTAACACAGTTTTAGGTGGGTTTGTTTTACATTCAGGGTCATCTTTCTTTTGAGTAACATTTTCATCATTGCCTTCCCATTTCTTCCAAATGCTCCCTTCTGATGGTTTAGTTGTGTCACGCAGTTTCCCCTACAGGAAGGGCAAGTCGGGCCGCCCACAGCCTAAGCACTTTGAGTCCCTGTGTTTGCCCTAATTACACAGGGTTTTGTAGAGAATCCACTTTGCCAGTTACACCGGTAAGTTTAAACAGGGCTTCCACATGTGGTGGCAGTGGTGATGTGTATATTCTCATTCCTTTTGGAAAACCATCTCAGAAGTCGTAGCAAAAGGGTCAGGGGTTAACGTTATTAAATTATCTAGTGATGATCCCAGCGGGTTTAGAGGTTAACATAGCAGCATAGATTGATATTTGCTAAAACATGGAAACAAATTATATTGGTGAGTAAGAAGGACTGGTTCGACAAAAGTCAAGCACAGTTTGATTAGGCTTCCTACCACCTTATGGGAGATCATGACAAGGAAAGATCAGATACATTGTGCTATTCAGTATTTCATCATATCGGAATTACTGTTGTTGAAGTGCTGTGTGTTTTTTGCGTGTTCAGAAACTACAACTGTATGGGCTACAGTTTGTAATAACTTGTGGCATTGTGTATGTTCAGGTTAAACTATGATGGTTATTATTCCCTCTATGTATCCTTATTTTTTTCTTACTGTTTAGAAAAGGATAGTAAATATATGTCTAGTATCCCTATCACCTTGTGTATGCTAGAATCCAACAAGGGTGATGTTTCAATTTGCCACCACTGGGTTAGGGAATTCCTGAAAATCTGGGAGTGATCATAGGGCTGCCAGTCTCCAGGTGGGGCCTGGAGATCTCCTGAAATTAGCACTGATCTCCAGGTAACAGATATCAGTTCCCCCAGAGAACATGGCTGGTTTGTTTGTTTGTTTATATCCTGCCGTTCCTCCCAGTGGAGAACCAGAGCAGCTTACACCGTTTTCCTGTCTTCTATTTTACCCTCACAACAACCCTGTGTGGTAGGCTAGGCCGAGAGTGCGTGACTGGCCCAAGGTCACCCAGCAAGCTTCCACGGCACAAGTGGAGATTTGAACCTGGGTTTCCCAGATTCTAGTCCGACACTTTCACTACTTCACCAAACTACTGGCTGTTATACCCCACTGAGGCCTCTCCGCTCTGCAGACATTGAAACTCCCGGTTCCAATCCCATATCTACCAGAATGTCACAACACCAACCCTGAGAGTGGAGCCTGAGGAAGGTAGAGGTAGGCTGTGTGGGGAAGGGGGGGACTTCATTGGGGTATAGTGCCATACAGTCCACCCTCCACAGCAGCCATTTCCTCTGAGGGAACCAATCTGTGTAGTCTGGAGGTTAGATATAATTCCAGGGTATCTACAGGCCCCACCTTGAGATTGGCAACCCTAACAGTCAGGCTAGAACAAATAAAGGGAAGTACTTCTTTCCCACAAAGAGTGATTAACACATGGAATTCACTGCTGCAGGAGGTGGTGGCAGCTACAAGCATGGATGGCTTCAAGAGGGAACTGGATAAACATATGGAGCAGAGGTCTATCAATGGCTATTAGCCACAAGGTATAGACAGGAACTCTCAGTCTGGGGCAAGGGATACACTGTCTTCTTGGTGCTTGGGGGGGCAACAGTGGGAGGGCTTCTAGTGTCCTGGCTCCACTGCTGGACCTCCTGATGGCACCTGGTATTTTTGGCCACTGTGTGACAGAGAGTTGGACTGAGCCATTGGTCTGAATCTGATCCAACATTGGCTTCTCTTATGTTCTTACGTAACAAAGTCAGTTAGAAAACGGAATAATTCCGAAATTGTCAGAAATAAAACAGTTGTACAAGTTGGGGAGAGGGGGGTGCTTACTCTCATTTAATCCATTGTCTTCTCTTTACCCCTGTTTGTTGTTGTTGCAGATACGAAGTCTGTAGGCCTGGGCGTCTGTGAGTGGGTTCTCGTCCTCCTCTCAGTCCTTGCCATCCTCATCACATTTCCCATTTCCATCTGGTTTTGCATGAAGGTAAAAGCATTCAGAGAGGGAGATCAAACATGGTGTTGATAGTTCATGTACAACTAGTAGGGATCCCAAGTCCCCCCGGGGGGCGGGGAAACCCCCGCTCCAGAGGCCCGTTCCCCGGCGCCACCAGATCGGGCCCCGGGGGGAACTCCGTCCCGACATGCACGTCACCTGGAAGTGACGGGAGGACGCCAGGCACACTGGGGGTGGGGCCACGGCCATCCAAGGGAAAACTCTATGGTTTCCCCTTGTATGGCTGTGGCCCCGCATCAGCGTGCCTGGCTGGGCAAGCCATAATTCTGTCAGAGCTGTTCTTGAAAGGGCAGTTCTCGAAAGAGCTCTCTCAGCCTCACCTACCTCACAGGGTGCTTGTTGTGGGGAGGGGAAGGGAAAGGAGATTGTAAACCGCTCTGAGTCTCCTTTGGGTAGTGAAAGGTGGGGTATAAATCCAATCTCCTCCTCTTCTTCTTCTTGTAGTAGTAGTGGGAGATCTCCAGGTACCACCTGGAGGTTGGCAGCCCTACATACAACCCCAATTATAGTTCCCATAGGTAGAAACGTCCAGGAGCAAGAGTTGGATTCATACATGCTCATACCCCTTTGTGTAAGCAGGGACTGGATGGGATCTTCTTAGGTGCAAATGCATACAACTAAAGATATTTTGTGTGAATCAAGACCAATGCAGTGGGACAGGGTGGCCCTGAGACCCCCATTTGGGATCTGCAAACTGGCCTCAAGCATCTTGGCTTTATAAAGACTCCTGTATTTGGACTGTAAAGTCATGAGTTCTCCTTCCATCTTCTGTCACAATATACATTAACATCACTAACATTCAGGCTGAGTTGAGACTGGCAGTTTGAAACGGGAGGGAGTCGTGGCAAAAAAAGACCAGGTGTAACAGGCTGGATTCACACACACACACCCGGCCAGAGTAACCCCGGGGTTACTCTGGCCTAGCCTAGAATAACCCCGGATAACTCTCCCAGCTGTCTGGTCTTTCCAGGCATGCCTTAGGCCGGACAGAGTCTCTTCCTCCACGAGCTGGACAGACCTGATCTGGCCCCTGAGGCCTGCTGGTGCTGGGGATAAGAAGTAATTTAAAAGGGAGACAGGACAGCAGCCCCAGAAAGCAGGCCTGGGGGGATAATCTGGCCTGGGGGGTTAATCTGGGCCAGCCAGAGTAACCCCTGGGTTACTCCAGGCTAGGCCAGAGTAACCCCTCCGGGCTAGGCTAGAGTAACCCCTCCAGGGGGTGGGCTGGGGGGTGAATCTGGCCTGTTACACCGGAACAAACTGTTCCGGGTTTTCCCAGTCACACTGCACTGACTGATATGGGAGCATACCGGGGAGGAGGCACAAGGGAGCGTTCACACTGTTGGCCCGCCCCTGACAGAGGCATGGCTGTAAGGCGGAGCTTTCTTTTTGGTAACCTGGAGATAAGCGCATAAGCACACAAGAAAACTGCGGCTTTTGGCGTTCTCACTTTGTTGGTGCGGGATGGACACGGGATAATTGCGCTTTCCAGGGTTTGATACCACTTTCATCTGGTATCTTTTCAACTCGGGAGGGAAGCGTTACAAGACGGGTTTAGTACAGCTGGGGAACACCGGACAGATGTGCCTGTGTGAACGGCCCCTTTAATCCGTTTGTGAAACGTTTGTGAAACGTGCCTTTATCGGGCCAAACTGCCAGTCTGAACTCGGCCTCAGGTTGTTGAGGAAGTTCGCAGGGTTTGTTTGGCCACTGGGGTCCAATGAAGCAGACGAACTGGGTAAGAGGTTTAAAAGTTTTTATGCCAGGCTTGGTGATCACAGAAACAAGTCTGAAAACTCTCACACACAACTGAAGGTGGGCTAGACAATTATATGCATCAGTTACATAGCATCTGGACATGCGCGATAAGTTGTTTTTTGCTTTTTTTTACACCTAAGATTTTACATAAAGTCCTACTAAATGCTTACTGCTGCATATTTCAAGGAACAGCCTGTGTTGTTTGCGACATTTGTGGTTTCTGCCATAGTCCTACAAATAACTGTTAACTCAGACATTTGTTCATTAGCTTCCTTTAGATAAGCTGTTTTATATCTATACTTCTGCTTTCTTGCAAAGCAAACAGAGGTTACAAAGCGGGCAAACAGGGCTCCCTTAATGCTAAGCTGAGCATTTATATTTCAAGGTGAATAATAAGAAAGATAAATCTTATTTGCACATTTTCTTGCATAGCCCTCTATTGTTAGTAGGAGTTACCCTGATGGACAGTAATTTCAATATGCATCGGGATAATATTCAACATTTTAGGTATCTCCATTCCTCTTCTTCCCTCTCTACCTAAGTAGCAGTCAAAAACCAAGTGAATGACTCCCCCACATGCAACTAAGAGTAAACTAAGCTTGCCAACCTCCAGGTGGGAGCTGGAGATCCCCCAGAGTTATTGGTGATCTCCAGACTACATAGGTTGCTTATTCGTTATCCATTTGTTTCAAACATTTTATTTCACTTCTGCTGGAGAACATGGCTGCTTTGGAAGGTGGACTGTATGGCATTATACCTTACCAAGGTCTCTTCCCTTCGTAAACCCCACCCTCTAAGGCTCCACCCTCCAATCTCCAGGTATTTCCGAACCTGGAGTTGGCCACCTTAAGTAAACCCTGAAGAGTGACAGTGAGTTGAGAGTCAATTACAGTGCCATTTTAAGCGGAGTTATACTCTTCAGTTGACTTTGAGGGGCATAACTCTGGATGGGGCTGTTAGCCTTCCATGTTGTTGAACAAAAACAGCAGCCCGAATGAGCTGCATGCTGTTTTATGTTTGTACATGAAGACCATTTCTTTCGGTTGGCGTGCCTAAAGTGGAAATTCCCACGAGGTACCTGGCTCCACCTGTCCCCTCCCTACAGATCTCATCATTAATCTTAGTTTCCCTTGACAGATCGTGAGGGAGTACGAGCGTGCCGTTTTGTTTCGCTTTGGACGCATTCTTCGCGGAAGGCCCAGAGGGCCTGGTGAGTATGGAGGAAGAGCCCTTGTCCTGGTACACAGCAGCAGTAGATGACATACATGACACTGTTTTGGTACATGTGTGGCACAGGTGGGATGCTGGGGGCATAAAATAAGGAAACACCCCCCCCCTCAGAATTCAACAATGAGAAAACTGACCGTCCTCACTTAGGGTTGCCTGGATATCTCCTGGAATTACAACTGATCTCCAACCTACAGAGATTAGTTCCCCTTGAAGAAATGGCAGCTTCAGGGGGTGGACTGTATGACACTATACCCCACTGAGTTCCCTCCCAGGGTCCACCCCCAAATCTCTAGGAATTTCTCAGCCCAGAGTTAGCAACCTTATCCTCACTAGACGTTTTATTGAGATTGTACAACAAGATTATACCACAGGGTGTCCACGACATCTTCTCTGATGCATTTCTCCATCAAATATAATTTATGCAAACTTGGACAAAACACACACTGCGGAGGGTGCAAAACCTTGGGGCTTCTGTTAGTGTTTAACATACATTTACATTCATGTTCTTTCGAGCACTGCATAGCAGACTGACGCATGGTGTAGAAACACACTGGAGCATTCCTTAGACCTGAAAGATCCCAAGTTAAAGTGCGTTGCGCTGATGAAATCATTAGGCAAATCTCTCTCACACTTCCTCATTTCCAAGCTGCAGGAAGCAGGAATTACAGTGGTGTGTCTGCCAGCATGGTTAGGAAGAGGCAAAAATCTTACTGCCCTGTATATCACAGCAATCCTAAACAGAGGTAACACCCAATTAAGGTCATAGACTTCAGTGGATTTAGAAGGGGATAACACTGCTTGGGACTGCACTGCATGAATACAATTATAATACAGCCACAGGGTGTTCACTATAGTCTTCATGCACCTCAAAACTGAACATGTCTGAGCAGCTAGCTCAACTCAAAGTACCTTTTACGTGGAACAGAAATGTCTGGAGCTGATGGTGGACAGTTTTTCCCCCCTAGAGGGTGAGGGAGATGTGAGCATAAGGTTGCCAGCTCTGGGTTGGGAAATACCTCGAGATTTGGGGGGTGGAGCCTAAGGAAGGCAGGGTTTGGGGAGCGGAGGGGCTTCGATGAGGTATAATGCCATAGAATCCACCTTCCAAAGTGGCCACTTTCTCCAGATGAATTATCTCTGTCTTCTGGAGATCAGTTGTAATCCTAGGAGATGTCCAGCCACCACCTGGAAGTTAGCGATCCTATATGAGAGAAGGATCTGTGCCCATGGCAACACATTGATCTCACAGAGGCTTCTGTTCACAGATTTTGAAAGATTTTTATAGCCCTTCAAATGCCTAAAAGATCTCTCTAACCAGAGATAGCAGTGGGACAAAAGAGGGGTGTATGAGTGTGTATTTTCTCACACTATGGGCAATTTATTCCTGTGGCATTCCACATCCTGCTCTTTGGCAATGCTATCACCTATCTCCTGCTTGACATAACTATCTGAATTTTCATTCTATACAACCAATGAGCTTTGGCGTGAAGGAATATGATTTTACTTCACAACATCCAGTTTTCATGTTCTGCTGTTTTCTTCTCTCCTTAAATAGGTTTGTTCTTTTTCCTTCCCTGCCTGGATACCTACCACAAAATAGATCTCCGCCTCAAAACCTTAGAGATTCCTTTCTATGAGGTAAGTCAGTCCAGTCACAGCGAACCTGACCTATTAACACATTTTGTGGGAGGCAAAGGGATAGGGAATCAGGACATTTGAGACAATCACTGGCTAGATATATTATAGAAGAAAGATAACTGTGATTCTGAGGCTGTGGTCACACACACTAAATAATCCATTTTCAATCCACTTTCCAACTGGATTTTGCCAGTTCACACAGTAAAAATCCCGTTGGAAAGTGCACTGAAAGTGGATTGAAAGTGGATTATTTAGCACGTGTGACCGCAGCATGAATTTCCATGAACCAAGAACTCCCCAACTGAAATCTCACCTCAACCACGAGCTCTAGGGTTACCAGCCTCCAGGTGGGGCCTGGGGATCTCCCGCTTTTACAAGTGATCTCTAGCTGACAGATATCAACTCCCCGGGAGAAAATGGCTGCTTTGAAGAGGGGACTCTATGGCCTTGTACCATGCTGAGGTCTTTCCCCTCCCCAAACCCTGCCCTCTCCCGGATCCACCCCCAAAGTCTCCAAGTATTTTCCGAACCAGACCTGGCAACCCTAGTGAGCTCACTAAATTCTCAGACTGCAACATAAGGAATATTGGCCTGCCTAGGGCACTTGTACGGATTTCTGGTGTATGTGAAGCACTCTGAGCATTCAGAAGCCATATCTAAATGCTAAGGGTCACACACAAGATGGGAACAGCCATGTGTGTGGTTCACATATTCACATAGTGTGCCCTAATCCCTTCCTAACCCTACTCCGTTACTTACAGAATTTCCCTTTCAGCCTTGCTGACTTCTGGTATAGGAGTCAGGCAAGGGAGAAACAATAGTGAACAATAGAATACCAAGAGGCAGGGCTCTTTTTGTAGAAAAAGCCCAGCAGGAACTCATTAGCATAATAGGCCACACCCAACAACAGAAACCCATTAGCATATCCAGCCACACCCCTGACAGCATGGCTCATTAGCATATTAGGCCACACCCCCATGTTACCAGAAGTGTGGTCATCCAGCCACACCCACCTTTTGCTTCTTATTCTGTTTACCTTGTTTGTTGTCAAAACCCAGGGCTTTTT